TTATCAAGAGGAAATAACAATCCTTAACATATGCACCAAACTCAGGGGCATCCATGTACATTAAAAAAAAAACTCTAATGGCCCTAAGAGCACACACAGACCCTAACACAGTGATAGTGGGAGACCTGAATCCCCACTGCCACCTATAGATAGGTTATCCAGGCAAAAGATCAACAGAGAAACTTCAAAACTACTCCACGCATTAGACCACATAGACATGGTTGATATCTACAAAGCATTTCACCCAATAACCAGGCAATACACATTCTTTTCTGCAGCTCATGGAACTTTCTCCAAAATAAATAAAATTTTAGGACACAAAGTAAGTCTCAACAAATTTAAGAAAATTGAAATAACCCCTGCATCATATCAGACCACAATGGAATAAACCAAGACCTCAACAACAAAAGAAACCACAGAAAATATTCAAACACATGGAGACTGAACAACACACTGCTGAAAAACCAATGGGTGACTGAAGAAACAAGGGAAGAAATCAAAAAGTTCCTAGAATCCAATGAAAATGAAAATACAACCTACCAGAATCTGTGGGACATAGCAAAGGCCGTGCTAAAAGCAAAGTTTATAGCTAAAAGTGCCTACATTAAAAAAAACAAACAAACCAGAGACCTCTCAAATAAACAACCTAATTAATGATGCACCTTAAGATACTAGAGAAACAAGAACAAACCAAACCCAAACCAGCAGGAGAGAAATAATAAAGATCAGGGCTGAAATCAATGAGATCGAAAACCATACAAATTATACAAGGAATCAATGAAACAAAAAGTTGGTTCTTTAAAAAGATTAACAAGATCGACAAACCCCTCGTCAACATGACAAAAGCGGGGAGGGAAAAGACCCAAATTAATAAAATCAGAGATGAAAAAGAGGACATAACTCCAAATACTAATGAAATCCAGAGGATCATTAGAGAGTACTTTCAAAGCTTATATTCAAGTAAACTGGGAAATCTAGATGAAAAAGATAAATTCCTAGATGCATATATTCATACAACTAAAACTGCAGAAGATATTAAACACCTACAATAGTCCTATTACATGCAATGAAATTGAAGCAGTAACAAAGAGTCTCCCTACAAAGAAGAGCCCAGGACCTGATGGCTTCATGGCAGAATTTACCAAACCTTTAAAGAAGAACTAACACCAATTCTCTTCAATTTTTTCCAGGAAATAGAAAGGGAAGGAACACTACCAAACTCATTCTACGAAGCCAGCATTACATTCATTTCAAAACTCAATGAAGACATAACCAGAAAAAAGAATTATAGACAAATATCTTTAATGAATATAAATGCAAAGATTCTCAACAAAATACTGGCAAACAGAATTCAACAACATGTTATTGCGGCACTATTCACAATAGCCAAGTTATGGAAACAGCCAAGATGCCCCACCACTAACGAATGGATTAAGAAAATGTGGTATCTATACACAATGGAATTTTATGCAGCCATGAAGAAGAACGAAATGTTATCATTCGCTGGTAAATGGATGGAATTGGAGAACATCATTCTGAGTGAGGTTAGCCTGGCCCAAAAGACCAAAAATCGTATGTTCTCCCTCATACGTGGACATTAGATCAAGGGCAAACAACAAGGGGATTGGACTTTGATCACATGATAAAAGTGAGAGCACACAAGGGAGGGGTGAGGATAGGTAAGACACCTAAAAAATTAGCTAGCATTTGTTGCCCTTAACGTAGAGAAACTAAAGCAGATACCTTAAAAGCAACTGAGGCCAATAGGAGAAGGGGACCAGGAACTAGAGAAAAGGTTAGATGAAAAAGAATTAACCTAGAAGGTAACACACACACACAGGAAATTAATGTGAGTCAACTCCCTGTATAGCTATCCTTATCTCAACCAGCAAAAACCCTTGTTCCTTCCTATTATTGCTTATACTCTCTCTACAACAAAATTAGAAATAAGGGCAAAATAGTTTCTGCTGGGTATTGAGGGGGTAGGGGGGAGAGGGAGGGGGCAGAGTGGGTGGTAAGGGAGGGAGTGGGGGCAGGGGGGAGAAATGACCCAAGCCTTATATGCACATATGAATAATAAAAAAAAAGAATTCAACAACATGTCAAAAAGATCATACACCATGACCAAGTCAGTTTCATTCCAGGGATGCAAGGATGGTTCAACATATGTAAATCCATAAATGTAATACAGCATACAAACAGAAACAAGGACAAAAACCACATGATCCTCTCAATAGATGCAGAAAAATCCTTTGACAAAATCCAATACCCTTTCATGATAAAAGCTCTGAAGAAACTAGGAATAGAAGGAATGCTATATACAACAAACCTAGAGCCAACATCTTACTAAATGGAGAACAATGGAAACCATTTCCATTAAATTCAGGAATGAGACAGGGCTGTCCACTTTCTCCACTCCTATTCAATATAGTTTTGAAATTCTAAGACAAGAGCAAGAAATAAAAGGGATCCAAAAAGGAAAGGAAGAAATCAAACTATCCCTATTTGCAGATGACATGATCCTATACCAAAGAGACCCAAAAACTCTACCAAAAAACTATTAGAAATCATAAAACTCTTTCAGCAAAGTAGCAGGATACAAAATTAACATACAGAAATCAGTTATTTTTCTATATAGCAAAAATAAGCACACTGAGAAAGAAATAAGGGAAACAATCCCATTTACAATAGCCTCAAAAACAATAAAGTACCTTGGAATAAATTTAATGAAAGAAACAAAGACCTTTTGAATGAAAACTATAAACCACTGAACAGAGAAATCAAAGAAGACATCAGAAGATGGAAAGACCTTCCATGTTCATGGACTGGTAGAATCAACATTGTGAAAATGGCCATACTATCAAAAACAATCTACATGTTCAATACATTCCCTATCAAAATTCCAATGACATTGTGCACAGATAGAAAAATCAATCCTGAAATACTTAGGGAAACACAAAAGATCTTGAATAGCCAAAGCAATTCTGAGCAAAATGTCCAATGCTTGAGGCATCACAATACCCAACTTCACGCTATACTACAGAGTCATAACATTAAAAACAGCATGGTGTTGGCACAAAAACAGACATGAAGACTAATGAATCAGAATGGAAGATCCAGACATAAACCCGTGCATCTATAGCCAACTGATCTTTGACAAAGGAGCCCAAAACACATGATGGAGAAAAGACGGCCTCTTCAACAAATGTTGCGGGGAAAACTGGATATCTACATGTAAACTAGGTCCCTGATACCAAACTCGACTCAAAGCAGATCAAAGACCTTAATATAAGTCCTGAAACTTTGAAACAACTTTAGGAAGTAGTAGGAAATACAGAAGAACAGACAGGTATAAGGAATTACTTCCTAAACAGAACTCAAAAGGCTCAGCATCTAAGAGAAACAATGAACAAATGGGACTGCATCAAACTAAAGAGCTTCTGCACAGCAAAGGAAACAGTCACTAGACTCAAGAGACAGCCCACAGAATGGGAGAAAATCTTTGCCAGCTACCCATCCAATAAGGGACTAATATGCAGAATCTACAGAGAACTCAAATAACTCAGCCCCCAAAGAATCAACACCCCAATGAAGAAATGGGCACATGAATTAAATAGGGAATTCTCAAAGGAAGAGGTATAAAAAGTCAGTAAACACATGAACAGGTGTTCAACTTCCCTGGTTATAAAAGAGATGCAAATCAAAACAACACATAGATTTCATCTCACCCCAGTTATAATGGCCATAATTAATGGTAATAACAACAACAAATGCTGGCAAGGATGTGGTGAAATAGGAACCCTTATGCACTGCTGGTGGGAATGCAAATTAGTACAATCACTATGAAAAAGCAGTATGGAGATTCCTCAAAAAACTAGAGATAGAGCTGTCATATGATCTAGTGATACCACTCCTAGGCATCTACCCAAAGGAATGTAAGGATACAGGATACAGTAGAGACATCTGTACATCGATGTTCATTGCAGCACTATTCACAATAGTCAAGCTTTGGAAACAACCCAGGTACCCTACAGCTGATGAATGGATCAAGAAATTGTGATACACACACACACACACACACACACACACACACACACATACTGGAATATTACTCAGCCATAAGGAACAATGACATGTGGTTTGGTTTGAAGGTAAATGTATGCAATTGGAGGACATTATGTTAAGTGAAGTAAGCCAGGATCAGAAACACAAAAGTCACGTTTTCTCTCATACATGGAAGATAGATCCAAAGATAAACACAAAAACAAGCATGATTATATACAAACTCAGATCTAGAACATGTATGTAACAGTGGGACTATTCTGTGGAACTCAGGGAAAGAGGAAAAGGAAAAGAGAATGATAGAGCATCAGTAACATCACATAACATAAGATGTGAAGGTAGAATATCTAAAGATGTATATTGAAAGCTGTTGAAAATGAGGGGTGGGAAGTAAAGGGGTAAGGGAGAGTAATGGAAGGGGTTGAATGGACCAAAGTAAAGCATACTCACAGTGGGCATACATTGAGACACCGCTTTGAATATCGACTTAAATATTAATAATAAAAACCAGGACTGTAAAATAGGCATAGTGTCTGTGGGGGAGGTACTAGGGGGAAGGAAGAGGGTGAAGGGAGGAGATTAAGATGACAGTATATGGTAGATAGACTTCATATACCTATATGAAACAGAACTAGAAAACCTCTTGTAATTGCTTTAAGTGGGGTGGAGAGGGAGTTGAGGGGGAGAGACGATGAGGGCAATGTAAATAATGTACAATATAAGTCTAATTGGAATTGTCACTAAGAATCCCCCCTGTATAATGAATGTATCCTAATAAAAATTTATTATAAAAAAACTCATAATGAGAACAGAAAAAAAAATTTGGAAACAACTTAATCCAGACTTCTCATAGGCCACCTATGCAGATATTTTCAATTAAGTTCCACACCAACTGAAACCACTGCTTTCTGCCACTGGGGTCAACTTCTGATACTTACAGTGAGCTGCACATCTGGCTGCTTTCCCAGAAGAGTCATGTCACTAGGTAAGCCAAAGGACTTGACTTGGTAGGTGAGGTAGCCACCATACGAGGAAACCTAGAATTGAATCAACAGTGTCAATACAACAGCGTTAAAAGAGACCCTGTGACATCAATCCACATCACAGGTATACAAATAGGTCTGTTATATCTGGAAAGATGCATGATCAACTGATGGATAGGGTGATCACTAGAAAGTGGGATTGGGGATGGTGTTTAACCTACTTTATACCATTTTTTATCCCATTTAAAATGTTTAGCATGAACATGATTGAGGGTTGGTTTGGTTTGGGCAGTAATAGGGATTGAATTCAGGACCTTGTGCTTATTAGTCAAGTCCTCTCCCATTTGAGTCACACCTCCAACCTTTTTTGTTTTAGTTGGGTTTTCATTTATTTGTTTGTTTGTTTGGCAGTACTGGGGTTTGAATTCAGAGCTTTGTACTTGCTAGGCAGGTGTTCTACTGCTTGAGCCTTGCCTCCAGCCTTTTTTGCTCTGATTATTTTGGAGATAGGGTCTCACTTTTTGCCAAGGCTGGCCTGGACCTCGATCTTCCTTTCTTAAGTTTCCAACAGTTACCACACACTGGTTTTTTTCCCCCACTGAGATGGGGTTTTGCAAACAATTTTTGACTGAACTGGCCTAGTACTGTGATTCTCCTGATGTCAGTCTCCCACGTACCTTGGGATGACCGGTACAAGTCACCACACCAGGTTTTGGTTAGATGGGGTGGGGGGAAGTCTCACAAACTTTTTTCCCTGGACTGGCCTTGAACCACAATTCTTCTGATCTAAGCCTCTGAAGTAGCTAGGATTACAGGTGTGAGCCATGGGCACCCAACTTTTTTTTTCTGAGGGGAGGGTGTTTGGCCAAATTTTTTATTTAGTGTTTGTAAGACCACATTTAAATGGTCTCACTGGCAGAGGAGAAAAGGGAGGTTCTTCAGATTCCCAAGGAAATGTCAAAAAGGCAATATATGATCAGCATTATCCATTTACTTTTTTGAGGCTTACTGGGTGAAATAGCACTTTCCTTACATAGGTATCTCATGTCAGGTTTTTCATACATTGGAGAACAACCTAAAATCCTTACCTTAGTTTGTTTTTGATAGGGTCTTGAGCTGTTGTACAGGTTGGCCTTAGATCACGAACCTCCTACCTCCACTTCTTGAATAGCGGGGATCACAGGCATGTACCATCATGCCTGGCCCTAACATGATTGAGTTTTACAAGCAAAAATATACTTTTATTTAAAAGAAAAATGACTATGCTGATACAAATAAGGTCTTCTTTTCTGTATGACTACTAAACCAAAATATTTAATGCACAACAGTTCTAACAAGGCTAGGCCATTGGTTTCTTATTTAGCTGAGAGAACTGAATAACATCTATCTGTTAAAAAATGAACCTCTAAAAATAAATTTTCCCAAAACAATTCTCCTGAACACAGACAGTGACTACTTCCTAGGCTATCATGAATTCTCTGGGTCCAGGAGCCATGAGGGATGTGAACCGAGCTCAGCACAAGCATTGTGGTGGTTTTGTGGAAGTAGTTTTCTGACGACAACTATTCCCTCCCTAGTCTTGACCCCTCCCACCCACGAAGTAAAACCAATGGGGAAGGAAGGAGTAATGGAGGGAATCAGAGGAGCCTCACCTCAGTTGAGGCAGAACACAACCAACCAGGAGGACAGAGTAGCTGCCGCTCTTCTGGTGACCCCTCCACAGAAACTTCTCCTACTATCTGCAAGCAGACAGCCCTGCACACAGCTGTGTTCCAAACGAGCGCCTGGCATCACTGCCTTTTTGATGGGCTAAGGAGGTTTTAAGAAAATGTATCTGCAAATTCTTTAATACTCTTCTAAGAAGTAAAGCCTAATTTCCCTCCCCTTGAGTGTGGGCTGGACTTAGTGACTCATTTTTTAATGAGTTATGGAATGGAATAAGGCAGAAGTGAGAGTATATCATTTCAAAATTAG